CGGTAACAATTAATTTGCTATAGTTTACTTGTATTAGGTAAAACTTAATAATTAATCTACTGAATATTTATACATCCATTATTTTAAATGAATATTTTTGTATGTAGGATTTTATTTTTTAATTATCAATGCATCATGTACAAACTACATATAATTTTTAAGCCAACAAAAATGTCCTATGCATAATAAAATTTTAAACAAAGACTAATCCACTCAACATCTCGGCTAGATATACAAGTAGATACAATTGCCTCTCACTCCAGGAACATCTCGGTTAGATATAAATGTAGACTGGTTGCTTCCAATGAACAAAACATAATCACACAGTCCTTTTCCATGGGGCTTGAAGACAGAATGAATTTTTCATAAATTTCTTCGACCGAGGAGTTAGGGGGAAACTCAAGTATAGTGGAGATTGGAGGGAGTCGGATTTGGGTTAGAGTGATGGGGATTGAGAAAGGAGACGAGGAAGGAGGATGAGGGAGGAGAGGAGGAGGAAGGAGGATCGCTTGGGAATTGGAGGATCGTCGGGAGGAGAGAATGAGTCGGTTTTGATGGAGCGCATGCAGAGTTGATGGTGAATTGGAGGATCGCTGGGGAGGAAGGAGGAATGAAAATGAGTGAGGAGAGAATGAGAATGGAGAAAGAGACGAGGAAGAGGATCACCGGTGGAACTTATGCACAGTTGGCGACGGACTGGAGGATTGCGGGGAGGAAGGAGAAGGAGAAGAGAGGTAAATTTGGGTTTTTAGGTCAAATATGGGCTAATCATGAGCTGGAGGGACTGAGCCACATTTTTTTAAAAATTTAAGGGCCGCAATACATTGCAAAAAGTATAAGGGGCTGAGACACATTGAGTTCTAAAATTTGAGGCCTTGACACAATTTTTACTTTTATGAAATTTTTTATATGGATTTTACATTAGAGTCCTAGGCTGACACCGACTGTTGCAGTCGTTTTCAATTGAGAGGGTTTATGTACTCATAAGTCATAAGCGTCATCGTCATTTTGATTGATAATTTTTTTTTAAGATTAAAAAACGTTATCACTTGATTATATTAGTTTGATAACCCTTTTTTATTGCGCGTTGACTTAGGGGTGTAATTGACCTTTTAGCTTAGCGTTACGTTTTCATACCGATGCTTGGATAACAAAAGAGATGACTTATCCTTGAGAATCTTTTATTGATTTTTGAGTTATAGTATACTAGCGACATTTTTTTTTGCTACAGTAATTCCGCTTTTTTAAATGCTGCTGTGGTTTTGAATTGTTGCGGCATCCTGCCTCTGCTACAGTATTCCATGTGTCATATCTGCTACAGTATCTCATGTGCAACAGTAATATTTTTTCAAAAAACCAACACGTTCTCAGCTTCATGTTTGCTAAGTAAATATTAGTGTTGTATTTACTATAGGATGAATAATGAATCTTGGGTTGTCCCATTTGTATAGAGGAGTAGATTGAGATTCCAGTTTTACTTTTTCTATAAGGGGCTATTCGTTTCGCAAAAAAAATTGGGAAATCAAAGAATAGGAAACTTATTTCCTATAATAATTGTTTTGAGGTTGTTTGATTGGCTTAAAATAGAAGAAAACTATAGAATAGGAGATGAGATGAGATGAGTTGTCACCTTTTTATTGGATGATGTGAGTGATTTTTCAAAAAAACTTGTTTTGAGGTTGTTTGTGTTTGGTTCATTTTTAAAAAAATAAGAAAATATATGAGATGAGATGAGTTGAAGGTATATTATTGGATGATGTGACACATACTTAAGAAAATCAATTTCTTGTTTTTTTTTAGGAAATGGATGGAAAGGAAGGTTTAATGTGATGAGATGGGTTGTCACAATATTATTGGATGATGTGTGTGATCTTTAAAAATGAGATAAGATGAGATGTGATGAGTTGGATGATGTGACACATTTCTTGTGTTTGGTTTATTTTTAAAGGTAAGAAATGAGATGAAATGAGATGAGTTGAAGGATAAAAATATTATTTTATTGGATGTTATGGGTAAGTTTTAGGGATAAAAATGGATAAAAATATTATTTTATTGGTTTTTTTGTACCGATTTCCTTTTCTTGGTTTTTAGGAAACCAACCAAACGGCCCCTAAGTTCAAGACAACTTAATCCAATAGTTAAATTTACAAACATCAAGGCCCCATAGTCTCTTCAGTATATTTCACACCTTTTTCCGACCTGCAAAGAAATTATTAAAAAAACAATAGTTAAGTTCAGCAAGAAAAATGATAGGGGCACACCTCTAACCACAACCTCAACCATACTCCCTCTCTCATTTGCTACAGCGCACCAGACCCCACATGAGATTTTAAAATTTTAAAATCTCATGTGGGACCCGGTGCACTGTAACAAATGAGAGAGTGTGTGTGGTTGAGGTTGTGGTTGGTGGTGTGCCCTTAGTGCCACCCTTCTGGCAATGATGAATTTGAAGGAAAAAGGGTTTGTCAAGTGAAAAAAAAAAAGATAAAGTTTCAAGAAACCATCATGGGTGCTTTTGCACAGAACTACCTGAACTTTGGGGATTAATTTCGAAAGTTCATGGCTAATAAAAAAGTTTTGACCGTTATGTGCAAAACCTCCAAGAATTCACAGCAATTTTGTGAAAACTACACACAAAAATATTGTCTAAATACGAGGATATTTAGGCCGTCTACTAGTTCTTTTGTACACTGCTCTCTGTCTATGCTTGTGCATTTTCATTATATACTTAACTCCAAAACTGGGGACATGATGTCATGTTTGTGAAATTACATAAATGTGCCTATAGTTTTTTTTTTTTTTAGAAAAATGATGGATTACAATATAGTAATCCAGCCAGCTAAATTAATAAACTGGTTGTTACATATAAAGTGCACATTCCAACCAAAAATGTGCACAAAAAGTCAACTGAAAATACAAAAGCACCAAAACCCTTTTGTACAAAGGTTAAAACTCTCAAAAGAAAACTTAACTACCACAAAAGTAAGTATCATATTCAACAACAGTCTTACTCATCAAAATATCAATAACTACCACAAAAGTAAGTATCATATTCAACAACAGTCTTACTCATCAAAATATCAACTAAACCACTGTAGATTGAGATTAAAGTAAGTATCATATTCAACAACAGTCTTACTCATCAAAATATCAACTAAACCACTGTAGATTGAGATTAAACCAGCTGAATCACGACACTTTTCTCCACTCCTGCAGCTCCAACTGACTGTAAGTCTCCCAATCTCTCATTCTTCTTCCTTCTTCGTGCTAGCAATCTGGCCGCTCTATCTGTGATTTTAGAACCTAGCCAAAATGTAGAAAAAAACATAATCTTATTCAAAATCTCCAACGCTCTTTTCTTCTTGTTAGAAAAGAGTCTATCATTACGCTCCTGCCATATGCACCAAATAAGAGCACAAAAAATAACGTCTCTTTCCATCTTGCAGTCCTTATTTCCCCCAGCAGTCCAATTAATCCACACTTCTTTTAAGGATTTCATTTTGAAGTCTTTTCCAATTTTTAATTTGAACTGAATAGATCTCCAAAGTGAGAATACAAACTCACATTCAACAAACAGATGAGTATGACTCTCTTCAACTTTAGAACACAAAACACAATTCAGCTCTAACTGAATTCCTTTTTTAGCCAAAATATCTTTTGTATTTAAACTTTGTCTTAAAGCTAGCCAAACCATAAGTTTCACTTTTAAAGGAATGGAAAGCTTCCAAATGTCTGCACAATCAGAACGTAAACCTCTATCAATAAGAAATTGATAGAAAGATTTAACAGAGAAAATACCATTTGCTTCCCACAACCAAATTCTGTTGTCTTCTTTTTGATCAAAAATTATATCCTTGATAAGATCCAGTAAATTCAAAAACTGAAAAACCAAACTTCCTGTCAATTGCCTCTTGAACTTAATATCCCATATCCAGTTGTTATTCCTTTTTTTCCTCAGATTGCTAACAGAAGCATAAGGAGAAGAAGTGATAATAAAGAAGGATGGGTATAAAGAAGCAATGGTATATGAGTCTAATAACCATTTATCAAGCCAAAATAAAATATGTTTTCCTTCTCCCACCTCCACACGAGTACTGCATAAGAAACTGTCAACATTGAGAAAAAGATTTTTTTTCCTTCTCCCACCTCCACACGAGTACTGCATAAGAAACTGTCAACATTGAGAAAAAGATTTTTCCAAAAATAAGATAACCGAGTACTGCATAAGAAACTGTCAACATTGAGAAAAAGATTTTTCCAAAAATAAGATAACTGACCTCTACTTGAATGAAAGAATTTTGTCCAATCTTTTCTTTCATAATATTTATAAAAACTGATCTGTTTCCAAAGCACATGTTTATTCTCAAACCATTTCCAAAACCATTTCCCTAATAAAGCTTTGTTCATAGTTTTCAGATTTATAATTCCCAGTCCACCAAACAACTTAGGTCTACATATCTCCTCCCACTTGATCAAATTTGTACAACTCTTATGATCTAAAGATCCAATCCATAAAAATCTTCTTCTCATCCTATCAATTTTATCAATAACCCATGAAGGGAATAAAAAAAAGGATAACTAGAAATTAGGCATCGAAGATAGAACTGAGTTAATTAAAACCAGTCTACCCCCTCTAGACAAAGTTTTGCCTTTCCACAAAGCCAGCCTTCTCTTAATTTTTTCAATCAAAGGAGACCAATCATCTTTTTTTAATTTTCCAGCCCTCAAAGGAATCCCCAAATAAGTAATGGGAAAGCTCCCACTTTTACAATTCAACATAATGGCCAAGCTTTGTTGTAAAGAATCATTATTCTCAAGAGCTATAAGAAAACTCTTGTTAAAACTTATTTTTAAACCAGAAGGAAGTTCAAAACAGTATAAAATCAGCTTTAAAACTGTCAGCTGCTCTTTTTTATTTTTGTAAAATATCAGCGTATCATCTGCATATTGTAAGCAGCAAACTTTGTGAGTCATATTAGGAGGACCTAGACCTTCAATAAGTTAAGAATCAACTGCAAGATTCAACATTCTGATGAAAGAATCAGCTGCTAGGACAAAAAGAAGGGGTGACAGAGGATCTCGTTGACGAACACCTCTTTTGGACATAATCCACCTCCCAAGCTTACCATTAACATTAATGGCAGACATACCTCCATTTAAACACAAATTGATCCATTTTATCCATTTAACACCAAACTTTTTTGCCTTCAACACCTCTATAATAAAATCCCAATCCAACATATCATAAGCTTTCATGAAATCTAGTTTTAATAAAATTCCTCCTTTTTTATTCTGAAAACAAACAGAAATAATCTCCTGGGCTGCAGCCACTCCATCCAGCAAAAATCTGTGTTTGATATAACCAGATTGGACAGGATCAATAAGCCATTCCAATTTAGCATTTAATCTATTTGTCAAAACTTTGGTAATCACTTTAAAAATAACATTTAGAAGACTGATAGGTCTATAGTCATTAACTGTGACAGCCCCATTCTTTTTTGGAATAAGCACAATATGGGCATAATTGAGCCTATTAATTTCCAACTTACCCTCATAAAACTCCTCAAACAACTTCATAATATCTATTTTCACTGTATCCCAAAAGACTTAAAAAAATAAAGCAGGGAATCCATCTGGACCAGGGGATTTATCCCCATTCATATCAAATACTGCTTTATAAACTTCCTCTTCGGTAAAAGGAGTTTCAATATCATTAGGACCACATTCAACCACAAAGAAAAGTTTATTCCACTCACATCTATAAGGCTCTCTCTGTCCAAAAATCTTTTCATAATAATTTGAAAAAATTTGAGCTATTCCTTCTTCAGAGCTCACCACCACATTATCTACAGAAATTGACGCAATCAAATTATTCCTTTTTCTACCATTAGCAATTTTATGGAAATGCGCCTATAGTTATTGAAAATGAACAAAAATTACTTTGATGAGTTACAAAACAAATGTAACTGATAATTGATAGAGAGTTAAATAATTATAATAGTAGGTTTCGTCATTTTTCTTAATATATTTCGTTTGTCATATCAAACCCGCATTAGAAGTTTGAATTTTACATAGAATATGGATTATTCATTTGCCAGAAAAATCGAGTCAAGTTAAAAACCGTAACTAAAGCAAAAGATGTATTCCACAGCCGTGAATCAAAGCTCATTCGAACTGTTGGTCCAAAAATTATAATAGTGATAAGATGCAAAATCATGACGATCAACCATCACTTTCCCTAATCAATGATGAAACAAGGAAAATTAAAATTTCACATCAAGTAGACAAGTGAAGTTATAAATACCTTCGAGTTGATACTTCAAACTTAATATTCATTGACCTGCATCCATTTCATAGATGATCACTTACTCCCTCTAATCACTGGGCATCCACCTGCCTAACAAGTTAATGTATAAATAACAATTCCATGTTCAAAATGCAGAAGTTTACACTGTAATACACGATATGTAATTTTCCAAATGGTCATAGAAGCGTACGAATATAATCACGTAACGATAACAAGTCCAGAGCAAGATTTCAATGTGAAGAAGATAAACATAACATCGAGTATGAAATGAAGAAAATTAAGGGGCAAGAGACATACAGGCACATGAGAACAGTAGCAGTTCGCCGACCTCCATTTTTAGTGTTGAACTCGTCAAGGAAATAATCACAATGAGGTTCATACTTTTGCCCAACTTCTTAGTATAGAATCTGGAGCGCCTCCCCATGCTCTATGAAAACATGAAGTTGATATAAGACTATAAATAGAGGGAAAATAAAGTTCGCGCTAGTAACCGCTAAAATCAAAACAGATGGTAACAGCAAACGGTATACTATTTTACTTCTGGCCCACTAGCGGTAACCTTTTGATGCAATCAAGTCTGACGTTTACTAATAAAATAATTTTCTCCTTCACAGCAAGCGGTATCTCGAACTTTATAGGAGCTAAATACTGAATGTGTACCGGATCATGTTTTCCTGCAAATATATCTGTATCTGTATCAGATTTTAGCAGATATGGATGAGCTTTCCTGCAAATTCGTATATGTAAGTGGTAAGCGAATACGGATATAATAAGTACATCTCCTAGACGTATCCAAACAGTTTGCACCCCTACAAAATGTATCATTTTAACGCATTGATACTCCAAACATTGGTTTGATACCCCAAAATATCTCTTTTGCATTTTGATTACCTAACGTTTCATTCCCAATTCACTATGACGCCCCAATTCCAGATTCCATTAGATTTTTTTTTTGGGTTAAATTTGTATCATGTCCTAACATGTGATGCATATATATCTATTTTACCCAGATGCTAAAGTACAAATACAAATTTCACAGAAAATCTAATGAACCCATGTACTCTGAAAAATCAGGTTGAGTTGCAGAGCCAACATCTCTAGACTTCAACCTTTGCGCATCTGGACCCATGTCCTCTGAAACATCAACTAAGATATATATTATCTAATCCAAGTGAAATATCTAATCCAAGTTTTCACAGCCTTACAAAAAAACACTTTATGATGAAGCAAAAACATACTTTTCTCATCCAGTGGAAGGATATGCTCAGCCAATAGCTTGTTCATCTTTAACATGTCAGTACAGTGTCTCGCAGACCAGTCATAATTCATCGATCTTGCTCTTGTAATTTGGATCTTGGAGATAGTTCTTACTGATGTAGGCCCATAGTTGCTTCATAATTTGAATCAACACAAAACAGTGTAGTACTTGATGTTAATAGGCTTCATACCAAAAAATACCAAAATGTTATTCCAAAAAAATTAATTATACAAACCTGATTTTTTGGCATGTCTGGCTTGCGACAATAGCCTAGAGTTGAGGAGAAAGACCACAGATTTTATTTAGACCACCTCTTCTTTTAGCAAGAGGAGGGGTGCTGAAAGAAATTAAAACGTAGTATAATACAAGAAAATGCAGCATCATAGCCAGTAGTTGAAACAATAAACATGTATGTAGAAAGCTATAATGTAACATAGGCGAGTTTCCATTATCCTCAGTGAGGCCGAATCACAAAGAAAAGAGACATGAATGGTGGTGAGTTGGTTTATTGGGGCTGCTATGAAGTCAAAACTAGCGTCGGGGGCACTTTCATATGCCTCCGATTCTCCAGACTGGACCATGAGCTAACACACTAATGCTGAGTTGTAGAGATCTTATTATGGTTGCATTTCAAAAATATAACTGTTTGATAATGTAGAAGTTAATTGAATAGAATGGGATATTAACAGGTACCTAAATATAGTCCATTTGAAACCCTAGTTAAAGAAATAATAGAGGATACCAGAGCACAGGAAGTATAGAAGAGAGAACAATATGAACACCTACACCCATATTGCACCAGGTCCAGAGAGAACTAACTCCACGAATTGAACAAGATACAATTACATAGGCTGCATGAAAACACAATCAAACCATTTACAAACAAAAATTAGCACAAGTTCAAACCAAACCTTAATTCTACAATCTACAGATGCCATTTCTTTATAACACAATATGAACAGAGAGCAGCCATTTACAAACCATAACCAATAAAAAAAAAACCCCAATTCCATAAGAGAAGAAAAAAACCACCTTTTCTTTGACATCAAATGCTGACCCAATAGAAACCCTAGTTCAAGAAATAATAGAGGTAAACATTGCAGGGATAAAACCACATAGAACTGGAGCATATAAAAGAAATAACAATAACAAATAAAAATTGATACGAACACCTAATTCCAAGAAATTTTCATCTAGCTACCAAGATTGCATCAGAAAGAACATATCTCCAAGAATTGAACAAGAGACAATAACATAGTAAGAAACTTAAGGCAAAGCTTTCACCTGTCAAATTGCAAATTCACGGGGGGTCTATTGTTCCCATCCACACAATTTAAAGCACATGAATCTAACTTGATGTTCATGATGAGTAGAATTAAGATTAGAATACAAAGCAATAGATGACCATAACCTGTCATATCATAGCGTATATTTCTGTGTAAATAAGTATCACACAATGTGATTCTTTCTCAGGTACAAAATCTGCGAGATTAAATATTCTACCTATCCACATATTCCTTCAGGAGCACTTTGGCACATCAAGGCCCCTATCCACACTTGGTTTCTGTGTTAATGCGCATAGCTGCCAAAAAACATGAACTTGGTTAAAACCCAAACAACCACCATACATCGCCTTAGTTCTAGTATTCCATGCATATAAAAAAATTTGGACATGATTAAAGACAAAGCAGCATAGCATTTTTTTCATTAAAGCACGCTAGCTAGATAACAGGTATCACTAAGTATCAGTAACTCCGCTGAGAATAGATTGGTTATCAATTATAACTTACCGACCTCAAAACAATAAAACTCAATTTATTATATAAAGCTATAGTATGGGGAAAAACCACCATATAAACTCAATAGAGACAACATAGTGAATTTCAAGTAAACCAGTTTACCCTTATACACTCAAAGTTATGAGCATTTGAATGAGACAAACACCAGAGTAAAAGATAAGATATAGAACATAGAGAGTGATACGTGGTTGTTTAATTTGACACAAATTAATAGAAAGGCATAAATAAGGAGGTATAACCCATTCCAGTTAGAAAGAAAGAAACTGCCACGTGTACGCTAATGTATTGCAGCAGACAGACGATCTGAGGAGCGGCTCTTTTTTCTCAGGGGGGGGTGGGGGGCGGCGCGCGGAGGGTGTGTGGCAGTGTTTTACTTTAATATATTAAATAGCTCCTAAATATATCTCTCCATTCAAATAGTGAAGCAGAAGGAAATGATTGCAAGTTTCCTCCTTCCTTTCTTTTTTGCTTATTTCTTACTGCATAGCAGTGTTGCCTGGATGCATGATAGTAGCTCATATAAAACTAAACAAATAAATTCAATCAAACAATCACCTTATGCAATTCTGGACGTCCCAAACTTCAATAAGAATCAATAATGAGGAAACCTTGACAAGTCAGATAGCATTCTTTGCAAATCATGGTCCATGTCAGCTGTGAATTCTTCTCATTTAGCATAAACTATGCAACAAGAAAAACAAAGCCTTCATCCCATATATTTTATTAGATAAGACCAGTTTCTCAGCTGCAAATTGGACATTCTGATGCATTGCTCTAGGATTCATTTCATAGAGATCCACCTAAGTTATATATTGGCCATAAGCTATCTAGAGAAATCCTATTTTATACAGGCTTATGACAGAAGGAATAAAATATTAAACAGGGGTAGTCAACAACCATAAAATAATTTAGATAATAAATAAATACACATGCATATGTATGTGTGTGTGTGTACAGGCATCAATGCAAATTATTTATGTCCCTTTTGCTACCTCTCCACACAGTTTTGAGTAGAAGTTAAAACAGCCTGGCTTCAGAGGAAACTTTTTCCCAGGTATAAAATTCTAAAATTGGCTTGTTTTCAAAAACACTGCCATGATCTAATTTCTGGCTTCCCTAAGAAATTGATTTGCTAAAATATCCCGCCAGTAATAGTAACTGTAGGATTTACTAATAGCATGCACATTTCGATAGGGATCAATATACCCGATTTCCTAGAACTTGATAGATCGTGCTACGTCACATTTCCAGCTGCATAAAGAATGCCTTTACCTCAATAGCAAGGAATTGAATTATCTAGTCAAAAAGATTTTGAGTAGATGGTCATATGTCACACATCTGTAAGTCATCACAGACAACAACCCAAACACAGACTTTCATAAAACAACCATACCAACACAACAGGCCACAGGATGCTTTTTAGGCAGTAACAAAGCTAATTGACATCATCATCTACGGACATAGTAATGGTTATAAAATTACTTGAGTGAGTCAAGAACATCGAAAAAGATTTCAGGTTGAAGATATTGTAGGCGAATAATTTAAATTCTATTAGAATGTAGTATACGGGTGACTACTTTAAGAAAATAGTTGTTGATGTTTATTATATGAACTAAAACTAAATTCAAAATAGACACATACATAAGATATCCAAAGCTGTTGTATGAACTATAGGTTACTACGGAAAACTAATAAAGACAAACATGCATGAACAGTTTATATACATAATCTAAGAAAGAGATGCAGGATATACCTATGGTTCTCGCGCAACAAATATTTGATCTGATCCCTTAACTCCTTTTAGCTTTAAAGCGATAGCCTAAGTTGCATGGAAACGAGTACGGGCACCGACACGAGTGCGGGTACAGGACACGACAAATTTGTGGAATGTAGGGTACGGGGACACGACTACATATATGTCAAAATTAATAATTTACATAAGATCATTATTATTTTTCAATTCATGTGCTATTTGAAATTAATTTCCTATCATATTTTAAGTTTCTTTTATCTTTCATCTTGTTTGGTTATTATAAATTAGAAACTGCTTGTTTTTTAATTAGACGCTCAAACCTTTATAATCATAGTTTTTAACTTGGATATAGTTTGAAACAACCAGACCCATATCTAACGAGTTTTAGAAAATAATATATAGGTTCAAGAAGTGTATGACAAGCATTTTAAAGTAAAACATATATTGTATAATTGAGTACATGTCTAGGTAAATGTATGCATACATCCAAGGAGTGTCCATGAAGTTTGGGTACAGATAAGTGTCGGGTACGTGTCGGGTACGGCTTCATGATTGAAGTACCTGGTTAACGTAGGCGATAGCTGTGCTTCACGATTTATGGGTTGAGTCCTGTATAAAGTGCAATTCATTTATTATGAAGACAATAAGACGGTGAAACTGAACTGTTGTAAGATCACATCATGATTCTCTAAAGCAATGTAGTACCGTTGAGATTCCTGCCTGAGACATATGAGGAAACGCAGGTCCTTTTATATCACTCATTAATGGCCAAAATGCATCTAAATTCCCCTCTTCGAAAATTAGAAGATTCATCAATGAAATCATCATAAATATGCAGCGCTTCCATAAAAAACCAACTGAGTTTACTGTTGGTCAATGGCTGGATAAAAGAATTGAACGATTGTCCCTTAGCATAAAGACTTAATTCACTCTCAACTCTTATATTACCAAAGAAATTTAGAATGGGCATAAAATTCAAATGCCGACATGTAAAGATTCATCACTAGCATATCCAATTTCTTAGTATCTGCAGGTATATTAGTTTTCATGGAAAACAGCGAAACGTCAATTACGAACAAATAAAGTAATGCAGAATTTATCCATGGGATATTTTCATGTCGAATCCTGATTTTAGGAGGGCTATCAGAAACCTCATGGTGGAGAATGAAAATGAATGTGTCAGTCGCTGAATTATGTACAGACAATTCATGAGGACTTGATGCTCATTTACCAAAAAAATTTAAAACAAATAAGATAAAACAAGAATAACACCAAATAGCAAGAACAAAAGCCTCGAAAGAAACTGACCTCGCCAAGAAAACATACATACATTCACTGGACCCTCCATCTCCTTTACCCAGAATGTGGGTTTAAGCATTCAAACTGAACCCTCTGTGCCGTTCTTGAATCATGATAACATTCTGTATCATACCAAAAAACTCACAGAACTATAAACTAGTCTATGAATTATACGATTAAAATATATAGTAAGAAAAATAGATTCACCAATATCAAAAGTTTATACACATCAAACACTAAAGCCTTCAAAGAAGCAACACAGTTTTAGAAAAAGGAAAAACAAGGAAATTTACTAGCCAGTAGCCACAAAGAATGATGTGGGGTCATGCCATCAAGTATCATTCAGAATCCCAGAAAACTAAATGGTTTACAAGACAGAAATGAACAGCGCTATAAAATCAACTAGATGCATAATTATGAAGCACTTCTGATCGTAAAGAAGGATGTCACCTCTACTCTTCATCTAGATTTGGCATGTAGTATATAAATCCAGCAGAATTCAAACCAGGAAACAACAAATACAAATCTAACGCTCATCATTGAGATGGACTGACACCAGTACTTCCCAATCCCATTTTCTGCCCCAACACAGTGAGCTGCTCCACAAACTCTCCACCATTAAGAAGCTCGGTAGTCCCATATATCACATGCTTCACTGGTTGTGACCTCTGACCCATTTCCATCAAACTGCTATATTCAACGTAATTCCCACCGCCTATCATGAAAACAATAGCTTCTTTGAATGGCCCCCTCAATTGTGACCCTGAACCTGATCTCGGTGCCCTTGGATCAAGCAGAAGATAAGAATCCACCTCTGGGTTTGGTTTCCCTTCCATTAATGCTTCTACTGTCCTAGTCAATGCAAGCTGCCTTCCACCTGATAATAGATTCTTCATACCAGCAGTCACAGCACTAATTGACTGCCCATATAGCTTCTCAGCCCAATCCACAATGTTGCTCTTGCTAGCCGAGCTCATGGAAGAAGCCAATGATGAATTCAGAGTCTTTATTTTCTTCACATACTGAAATGCACAAGTATCCACCTCAGACTCCCTCAGTGCAGCTTCTATTGCTTCCAACTCTGATTGCGGTGTGGTTTCCACCGAGAGAAGGTAAGTTATTGCCAACCTAATCTTATCAACCTTGGTTCCTTTCCCTCTAAGTAGATCGATCAAAGCACTCCTATCCACACTCATTTTCGTCAACATACTGTTTTCAAGCTCACAGTAAGCATCCAAAGATCTCCCCTTTATTTCACCCAACAATACCGTAGCTATATTTGTATGCTTATCAATTACCTTCTTCCTCTCTGTGAGCTCAGGTAATGAATTAACTGCATTCATCAAATGCTTCGTGTTCCCAATCAAATCTGTTCCATCAAATTCAGTAGCCCCGCTGTCACTTCCACCGGTCCTCCGGTTAACCTCTTCAACATCCTGCTTATACTTTCCCAACTGCAGCTCAATCTCCTCAGCCACCTTTGGGAATGGAGACCAACTGTTTGCTACCCAGAACGAATCAGTCCAGTCCAATTCATATGCCTTCATCGCTGGCGCGCCCAATCCCTTCTCCCCTTGCTGCACGTTAACCCTATTCAGTCTCAATCCAAGAACATCATGCACTAACGGCCGGTAACTCCAATCGTGCTGTATCCCAACAGCCAGCTCGAAATTCCTATCAAACAAACACAGCACAGGTCTCTGAAACGAGCTCACAAGACCCCCACTTTCCGAAAAGAGATTGTTTTTGGTAACCAAATGATCTCGAATTTTGGCGTCCAGCGCCTCGGCCACCATCGCGGCAGGCCCTCCCTGCGCACATCGGATCACCGGAACAACCCCGAGGGTTACGAGCACGCAGAACAGACCCCCTACGATCTTATCAACGATCGACTGGATCTCGGGCTCTCCAGCCGAGGGATCGTTCATCTGAACATAGATATCCTTGAGAGCGAGCGAGAAGAGGTTGTCTTCAAGGGTTACAAACTCAAGATACTGATCGTAGATCTTGGCGATCCGATGCACGGAGTCGGACCTCAGGGTTTCAGCAGCTAGGGTTTCGAGGAGGGGTCG